TTTTAGAAAAAGTTCGATGTTACAACTTACCCCGCATTTGGAGTCAGTTGTAGCATCAGACAAAAATTGATAATTTTTATATGACAGGCTATTTAGATAAACATGCTATATATATCATTTTCTATATGAAGCATTTTCATGTCTGGCAGCCACCGTTGCATATTTTATTAAATTATAATTAGAGCTCGATTTATTATTATTTATCACTATGTTTTTTATCAAATTCTCTCTAATATATAATATTTTAAATTTGGCAACACATCCAAAAATTTATAGTTTCAACAACTTGTTCGTTTTCCAATAATCAGGTTTTTCCAATAATCAGGTCTTTGTTTGTGTTTTTGAATTTATTTTTTTGGAATCGATTTTATATAATGGAAGTTTTTATGGTGAATACTGAATTCTTCCAATTCTGAAATAAAAAGTGTATTCATTTATCAATTTTTTTTTTCATTTTAAATAGTACCTGAAGAAGAGGTATTTTATATTACTAAAACACAGAAAATTTTCATAAAAATAAATAAATATTTTTTAAGAAACAAAGAAGACAAAAATGAAACCATAAACATGCACATACACACACACATATATATATATATATATATATATATATATAATATGTATGTATATAACAGCAGCTTAATATTTGAATATTGATGTTCGACTGCACTAAATTGAATATTTCAGCATAATCCCACAGAATATTAATAGTTAATAGTTCTTGCTCATTCTGTAAGCCGTAGGTACTTTACAATATTCTAACACAACTAGGATTTATATTAAATTTGAACAAACTACAAACAACTTGCAATGAAAGTACGTTAACCCACAGAAGTTTTGCATAGATTTTCATCAGCCGTACGCAAAATTAACCCAGGGTGCTATGTGAACCTCTCACGGCAATCTTAAAGTAAGACGACCTGTAACCCTGTGCATTTCCAGGGGTGGGGAATAACATATAACTGTCCCTGTGTCGGTGTATGCATGTTTCATGGTGTTTTTGTACATTACCCACCCTGACGCGTGTTAGTTGGGGTAACGTTACGTATGATTTATTAATGCCTTCTTCAGCGAAACATGCCAGAAGCACATATGCGTGCCGTGTGCTTTGTATTGCCGGTGATCTTAGGAATAGACACATGGTTGGGGATGATTTATTCAACAGAATAAAATAAATGGAATAAATACAAAATGCCCTGACTTACTAGTATTTTGAGATACGGGCCGCCAAAGAATGGATTGGTTGCTTCGACATACGAGTAAAATTTGAGATACGAGCTTTGAGCTAGTAGTGAGAGCTTTTTAATATATGTTAATGATAAAATGAAAATATGAAAAAATTCGTCAGTTATGTGGCTGTTTTATGGTAAAAAATTATTTTATAGTTAGTCAATTTAACTATACATCATATTGATCGTATACATCAAATATATGTTGATTTTGTGTTTTTTGCTTTTAGTACATTTACAAAATATTATGTACTTTTATGACCTATTGGGTCTATAGAAAATGGCCATGCTTCTTAATAATTAATGCGTGTAATTATTGAAAAATATGAGAGAGGTCAGGATATAGTTACAGGTCATATATGAAAGGGCATAACTTCTGCTAAGGGCCACAAAATAATTTATAAGCAGCTTTGAAGCTTTAAACGATTGTGGATAAAAATGAACCTGAAAAACTAGCAACAGTTTTTGCATGAAAGTTGTTCAACGAAACATGTGTATCTCAGGAGTCAGTTCTTCGATAAAATAGACCGTAAGATAGCATTCTTATGGTAACTTAACATATAAACTTATAGTAAAAACTGTCAAAATGCTATGTTTTTACTGTGGGATCCGTTATTGTACACAAAAAATTTAACTTTTATCATGTGTTATTATGACACATCAAAAATTGGCATTTGTGCGATTTCTAGGTGCCTGACTAAATAGAAAAAACATAGCATTTTAACAGTTTTTTTCTACCAAATTTTAGGAAGAATGGAGCGAAATATAACCTTGTCATAATAACCTTATGTTACGGTCAATTTTATCGGAGAATAGACTCCTTATTTCCGCAATATCATGAATGGACAGGAAAGAACAATGATTAAATTAATAAATAGTAATTATTTTTTAAATATTCTAACAACTTTACAAAAGTCACAGTGCCGGAATAAATTAATGGCATTTCAACGTATTTATGTGGGAAAAATAGTTCTGAGATACGAGTGATTTGACATGCAAGTGTAGTTACAGAACGAATTAAACTCGTATGTCGGGGTAACACTGTATTTCTAGATCTGTGTATGTGTAGTATAATTATATACTAATAAGCTTTCATGCATTTTATTTAAATGTTATAATAATAAATCTATACACTTGTTATTCTTGATATTTTCAGTCAATCTATTGCTCCTGATTGACACGCTCGTTTAAGCTAAGCTAAGTTAAGATATTAAAAGTTTACAGTCTCTTATTTTCGAATGAGTGCTTTTGGATAGACATGACAATCGTTAAAGAAGATATAACATTTAATAAGTATTTGTATTTTATGATAGGTCTTTTTAAAATAATAATTTCGTAAGTTGAAAGCTAAATATCTGAACAAAAATGTAAGAAATGGTAAAACACACTTCAATGCTTTGGTTGAATAATATTTATAATAAACCATATATTTAGAATTCAAAATAAAGCAATCTAGTAGTAGTAGTATTAGTATTTTTCAACGCCTTCACTATTCACAAATGTCACCCCAGGCCATATATAGGGCTTAAGGAAGACCCTTGGGGGCTTCCACCCCTGTCAATAAAATACGATACATTTATGGAAAATTCTAGATCTAGATGCATTATACCTACCACAAAACGGAATTTGATTGCTGATATATTGTTATATGAAGGAACTAATATATAAAATACATTTAAAAAATGACCACTGCTGAAACTGAATCAGAAATTACAGAAAAAAATTTAAGTCAAATATAAAAAATAAAAGTTAGTTTTTATGTTTTACGTTAGATTGGATACTTTGGCTTTAATAATTATTATAATAAAATTAATAATATTGTCATTTGTCTTTCAGAATCAGAAGAAAACCATTCATCAGCTCATTTTCTACCCCACATGTGTGTAATATATATCCTTCTCAGGGTAGATCTTGGAAGAAAGACGTAGAGGAGGCCGCAAGAGTATGAACGCATTAGTATTCATGGTTAATTGTTAGCATTACGTCATAGATCATGGCACATGTGTGTTTGTGTGTGACAGGGACATGATACAAGGTACACAACATCCAATACTAAACACAAATTAATATATAAATGATATAAATTTGTAGTCTGCAAGTTCATATTATTTTAAAATTCCATAAAAATATTTTTACAAGAATACATAAATTATTCTATATAGATCTATTACAAACGCAGCCATCAAACTTCATAAATACTTCTCTTCATTCCATAAAATAAATTTAAAAATATTTCTTTACCCCAGTTTCCAAAACTTGAAAACTGATACTTGACAAACCAAATCATACACATTTGCATAAATGATGAAAATATCATTCTTTTTCCGCGGCATCGCTGCCGTTTGAAATAATGTGATTTCATAATAAAAGCTTTTGCGTTGCATTACGAATAATGAATATCGGATAGGATAGAATAAAAAAAATGCCTCGGGAAATACATTGTAAATAGGAATTATGGATTTTACGAATGCATTTATGCGAGTCGATGGTGCGCGCCGTTCGGAGGCAGCTTTTGTAATTCAGTGCATTTTATATCTGGAGCTCGCTGCGAACGGAAGTGATTTTAAAAGTCAAACCATTTTATTGGCCTTTCGTAATATATGGTTCTGCAAGTCACCGATAGAGAGTACATTGATCCTTCAGGCGGGAGTATAAGCATTAACCAGCACCCGATTTTGTAAATGTGGTTGAACAAAATGTTCCTAGACCATAGGCTTTAATATATATTTTTATACTACAAAAATCAATAAATTTTCATCCTGGTGTTTCTAGAAGGCAACCTATAGGCTGACCAGATCCTGTTACCTCTACTGCTTGATGTCAAGTTGGCTAAGTTAAGTCTTACCACAAGGCCTTGGCCAGTTTTGCGGGTTTTAAGATTATTGCATGGCATTATACATTTAGGCAAATTACTGAAACTTCCAGTTTTGTAATTAAACATTTGAGGAAAAAATCTTTAAAATGATCAATAATTAATAACAATTACCATGCACCACTAGTTAATTTTCTAAATGTAAACCTAGTGATCAATAGAAACAGTAAACAAAAGCTGTACATGTTTCAGCCTAGTGTTTTTAAAAAACAACCTAAAAGTTGACCATTTGAGGTATATTACCAATAATGACGTAAATATATATTACAGTAGTGCCATGAAAGGTTATCATCACTTAATATTATATTTGAGATCTCTAATACAAGTAAAAATCATGCTTAACAAATACTGCTTAATGTCAAGTGAGTTATTACCACAAAGCCCTGTCCAGAGATATGGGTTTTGAAAATATTGCATGACATTATACGTAAGCAAATTTCTGAAACTTCAAATTTCGTAATTAAACATCCACAGAATAAAAATAATAAAAAATCTATAAAATAATGAATAATCAATAACAATTACCGTGCACCACTAGTTAATTTTTTAAATGTAAATCCATTAGAAGTCATTAAAAACAGTAAAATTTCTTTAAAAGCATGAAAAAGACCAAAAGTATTATAATAGCCTGTAAAATACATAAACATTGACCGATTATTTTTGTGTCCTTGTTATTTATTTACAAGATACCGTCTGCTCAGTTACCGAAGTATCATTATTGATATGAATTAAAACCAAATGCACCACCCAGAGGGCAGTCGAATCTATTTTATTGATAGTATGATGCAACTTCAAATGGTTTGTTTATCAACCGAAGTTCCTATCTATACGACGCAGTCTTGTTGATCTATGTTTGTTAAAATTATGTGAGCGATCGAAGAATCTACTTTAGTTTGTGCCTGCGTTTCGCGGGAACAAGAACATCTGGCATGTCGACCCGGCGCCAAAGCACCGGGGTCGACGAGCTGCGTGTTCGAGTTATCTAAGAAACAAGGGTTATTTTATATTAGTGGCATTGACGCTTGGGTTTGGATACTTCGTAACAAAATAAGTGAGTATTGCTTTTTATAATATTATTTAATTTACATTAATTTTTATAAATATAAGTATTTAAATCAATTGCTTCAATTATAATATTCAAATTATTTGTTGAAAATAACTACTACGTGAGGCATTTTTGTAGAAAATTGTATAATCTGCATTAGTTTCGAATATCATCAACGCGGCATTCTTAATACTAATAAATGTTCTTATTAAGTCGACGTATGCCATTCACATCTATTTAAACATAGCATTTATTAATATAATGAGTTAGTCTGCATACGTTTATATTTAGTGAAATAATTTATAAAATATGAGGCACACATGTGAACATTCAATTGGCATTGGCACAAAGCGCTGAAGCGCCGTGCGGGTATTATGGCCGACGGGTTCGCATTTTTCGAAACAAAAGGATAAATGCTGTTATGTATGTTTCAATTCACACACGCGACAATATACTATGTACGATACAATACAATTCATCTATCCGATGTCGCTCTTGCGTTAGAAAATGAAATGTTCGGCGCAATCAAACTGGATGTGTTTCGGCGGAAACAATAACACAGTTTGTATGACATAATTGTTTGCTTCGTTCACAATAATGATTCCTACGCAAAATCAGTTCGCACGAATAAACGTCCCAATAAACGCGAGAGAATTAAGAAATTAATTGTTAGCGATGATTATAATAATCTATTATGACTTGGGCAATTATTAGTGAACCTTATCAATGTCACCATAGTTATGAATCTTGTTCTTTTTCTAATTTCAGTCTAACAGTGAAGTACAACGTACTCCTATTTTCTTAGTTAACTAATATCTTCAATCAAAGAAATTAATTAAATCTAATGTACAAATATACATAGTAATGACTAGTAAGCAGACGATACAAAACATTTAAACGCTTGTAAATCTTTCATATCACTCGGCTGTATTCTCTAAAGGCCATGGGCAGTATTTAAACACATTGACTCAGTTTGTATTGAAGCGTTGATGAGCAACCCGAGGGCTGCGGGATTAATGCGGCCCTTTAATTATTTTTCTGCGGCCCGCCAAGCATTTCTAAAATACAATTTCATTTATTTTGTTAATATGTTCCATCAATAGATTAATAATAAATTATTTTCTTGTTGCATTAATTTATGCAATATTTTTTGCTTTCAATTTTGTATTTGTATATTAAAATGTTTTTATTATTATTAGTTATTAGTGTGTATGAAAAGTTTTTTGAATTTGAAATTAAGTTCGGACCGTCATAAAAATTAAAAAATTAAATGATTTTTAATTAATAAAATTAATAATTATTCTTGAAATAGATATCGCAGTGATGAAACAATATTGCCTTTTCAAAATTTACTGTTAGTCATCTTCAGAGCATTTAATATACTTTTATCATGATTTTTTTTTCTAAATACGGCAAAACGACTGAGTAATTTTCATGTCTGCATTCTGTAGACATATAAAAAACAATATTCCACTGTTCTGTGGAATGTGAAAAAAAACTACCACGACGCTAATTAATTAGAACGACACTGAAATCAACCCGCATACCTCTTGAAAATTGCTTAAATTTTAACATACTGCCGAAAATGAATACAGATATTGTAAATGTATGTTCATCAATGTTCACAAATTCATACCAAACAAATTACATAACATAATATCAA